AGAATCATTTCTGATTTTACTCGATTTTCTGGCGAGAAAAGCACTCAGATATATGGCCACTTTCGTGAAATAACTGCTGCACTAACTTATAATTAGTTGAATTAGTATACCGAACAGTATATGTAAGATTAATATTTAACATCATTGCTGCTATTTTTTAATAAAAATAACTTCCTTGTTGTTTTGGATATAAAAATTGCTTATTTGAGAAAACTATTTTTTCCTTTCATAAGAACTATGCGGGCATGAATTTTTATAGTATAGATTTAGAATTAAATGCTGTCGAACGATTATTGAGAGAAATTAAATAATGACTATTGGACAAGAGGTTTTTGAGGTAAGGCTCTTATTCAAAGTTCTCCTGATTGATTTTTTTCATACAACAGAAAGTTTTAATATTGAAAAGTGTTTGTAAGAATATATCTCTGATAATGTTACTGAAGTAAGACTTTCAATAGACTTGGGTCGTTGCATAGTCTAAAAATTTGAGCAAAAAATTAAATCTTAACTTGATTCTGTACTGAATTCCGATGACAAAGAATAAGCAATCATAAGACAGAAATAAATAAAATTATTTTAGACATTGTTCGTTCTTAATGGATGAATCGTTATCATGTCTTATGACTGAAAATAAAAGAATGGCCAGACATTGGACATCTAAGAAAAAGTTGCGCCACGAGTTGGTTAAGCTAAGAAAACATTGTTGATGAATCACTATAGATACATACAGCATATTTGAAGCACAAAAACATTTTTTTATTCAATATTCTATGAAACACATCTAACGATATATTTGCTAATAAATACTATGAAATCGAAAAATACTTCTATTACGAAATAAATAATGAGCAGAATACACATTGTTACGTTTATTTTTCTTTCTCTAATCGATACTTTATACACTGTCCTTTAGAAAAAGCTTCCACTCCTGTTTCTGATTACTAAAATTTGTTTACAGTTGCAACTGTGCATGTTTAAAGATTTATCTAATTCATATTAACAAAGAATATAATAAAAACATTCTTAAAGTTTTACGTAGTTCTATGTAAAAGAAAAATATGTAACGTAAATATTCTACTTCTTCTACAGATGTTTATACAAGAAAAAGAATATACGAATAGAAAACAGAAATTCTTCATTTTCCAATTGATGAACAAGAATTTGAAGATTAAACTGTTAGACTATATAAATCAAATCAAAAGAAAAAAAAACCAATGAAGTTATAAAAAAATAATTAAGGCGAGACTAGTATGAAACTGAAAAAAAATAAATTCCAACCTGATAATGCCAACATATAACTATATGAGTTATGGATGAATATGAACATATTATATATATATTCAATATCTATTAGTATAATTTTAAGATTGACCAAAGCTGATATAAGATCCAGCTAAACCAAAGCAATAATCACTAAGCCAGGTTATGATATGAAAGTTATCAAATCAATAATTATAAAACCGTTCAGGCTTTTGTTCTAGTCTTTTTTTACTGCATGAAATATACATGAATTACATGAGTTTTTTTTCATCCACCTTTGTTCTTTGAGATTATAGATAAAACTAGAAGAATGCTATATAACTTATGGGATGCTGATTATAATCAAATCTGAGTAGAAAAAAAGGATAATTTTTTTAATTAAATGTGATTTTATTGATCTTATAAAAAAAAATATAGATTCATGTTTATTATTGTGATCCAGCTCAATTTTATGTCGGCTTTGGTCAATGCTTAATTTCTCTAATATCTATTGATCATACACAATATTGCCATATTTAGCTATTATTCATCTTGCTGTAGTTGACAATATTAGATTGCATTTGATATCATTTTAGATTCATAATATTTTCGTCTTAATTGTTTTTGGTTAGTTTCATTTGTCTTTTATTTTTATTAGATTTGTGATGTAAGTCAAATAAAGTAGTCCAAATATAAATCTTTTGTTAGTCTAGTTAGAAATTAAGGGTCTTCTTTGCTCTTATATCTTTTTTCTTCTATAAGCATACATAAACTAAGTAAAACATATACGTATTATATTATTTTAATGGTACTATGTAAAACTCAATGAAAACCATGTATTATAAAAGACAACAAATATTATTATATTTGAAGAGGAAAAGAAACGTCATTTATTATTTTTTTATAGACTTTTTATCGAAACTCATAATACAAATGGATGAATATTGTTGTAAATTAGCTCGATCTTATGTCGTTAGATGTTATTTAAGTGATCTTACTTCACACTGATAATGAATAGGTTTATTAGAATGTTGAACCATGTTTTATTTTATATCAATAAGTAGAATGTGCTAAGTTGAGTCCCATATTATTATATTTCGAAATATTGAGGTTATAGTTTACATTGCAAGTTTATTATATTTTTCTTGTCTTACGTGAAATATGATGAGACATGTTTTTATCTTTTATTTTTGTAAACTCACTCAGATAATTCAAGTCTGAGTTTTTTGATAAAATTTTTCTGGGATTTACCCGTCTTTTTTTAAATATATAAATACAAGGGAGCTAAATAATTGTCTAGATTCGATTTTTTTTAAAGTTCCTTCTGATTTTATTTCATTCATTGATAAACGAACAAAACTTACAACTCCTGTCACAGTTTAACTAACGAACCGAAAACCAAACTAGTTTATAATAAATTGATTTCTTTTTTTCTATGGCAAAGTGTTTCGAAAAAATACATTTACTGAGTTAAAAAATAAAATTTCAATTTCGCATAATTTTAGATAAACAATTTGTTTTTTTTTATTTAAAAAAAGCCAGCATACAAAAATAATCGCATATTTTTATAATCGATTGAATTCCGCCTTAAAATCAAATGTTATTAGAAACAATTACAAAGATATCTTCATCGAGAATACACTCTTACGAGCAAATATAGCTCACATGTAAGTAGCTTGTTCTTTAATAAGTTCGCCTGTTCTAGCCTGCATCATCGCATTTATCATCGACATGTCGCAAATAAAAAAAAACTTGTTCTGTACTATGCCTCTAGGATAGAGCTGACCATCAAGTGATTCTGATGGTGCCGCAGTTCGAATCTGCGAGAACAAGATGTTTTTTTTCTGAAATTTTTTGAAACGCGTCTGGACGCGTTCTCATTTCTGAGCGCGTTCACACGCGTCTTATCCAACAGATGCGTTCAGACGCGTGCTTACAGCGTTTCAAACGCATCTAAGACGTGCTTGAAAACGCGTTTAGACCCTATAAATTTTTACATGGGAAGGAATATAAACCATTATTTCTTTTTTCTAGACGCATTTATACATTTGCACTTTGCTGCACTTTGATTCTTGAAACGGAGTGCAACATTTCGCCTTACCTGCTGAAAAAGAGTGCGAGATCTCACTATATTTCGAATTCTCATTCGGAACACTGAATCAAATCAGGTGTAGGCCATAAGTGGAAGCTTGTTTCTCGGACGATCAGAGATGTCACATTAGAGTAAATATATATATGAATTAATATTAACTCATACATTTGTGGATTAAAATAGTTCTTTTTTTTAATATTAATATATGAGAATCAGCAGCTTTTTAGTGTTGAGATGAAACTCGCGTTACACTCTAGAAAAATGACAAAGACAACTGAAGAAAAAAAAAAAAGAATTATGTGCATGAACTGACAAATCATCATGAATACAATTGAAGGTCAAACACTAGAAAAAGATAAAATTGAATTAAGAATTGTTATTCATGTTTCCACATAGTAACACCAATCATATTTTTTTTAATTCAATTTTACTTCGTCTATTCTGTTTGGACTATTAGTGCATGTGAAACAATCAATAGAAGCGCATTTTATCTTCGTTGACAGCATCATATTTTTTTTCATATAAATGATAGTTCAATTAATCATTTTCTTTTTAACGTTAGACTACGTTTCACTATCTTTCAGGGAATCAGTCAATGATCAGGAATTTGTCTCATTTTAAAATCTTTCAATCTAACAGATATATAAATTTTCAAATTTTAAATTGAAAGAACGGATAGTGAATCAGTTGTGGAGAATAATTTCTTTCCTTTCATCATATGAGTCATTCATTATTTTGTTTCTTTCATAGATGAAGATAAAGCACGTACATAACATCGAAAAATATTCTATTCATTCGATGATGAGTGATAAGCAAAGAATCATGAAATTTGAACTTTTACCAAACGAAATTTTATTGTTATGTTTTCAATATCTCAATATATTGGATATATTTTGTTCATTTGATCAATTAAATAAACGATTTTCAAAACTTATTCGAACTATTCAATTTCAACTCAATTTTGAAAATGTAAAAAAAACAATATTTGATAAATTTTGTATAAAAATGAAATTAAATCCTGAAATTCAAAAACAAATTTATTCATTAAAATTATCAAATGAAGATACATGTGGTCAAATTGATGCATTTTTATCAATATTTTCACTTAATGAATTTTCTTCTCTTCAATCATTAACATTATCTGAAATTGAAAAAGAAAATATTGAAAAATTGAAAATAACATTACCATTAACTTCCTTTCATATGATTTGTGATAAGCTTCAAGATAATGAAATATTCGATATTCTTCCAATGTTCAATCTTCGAACATTATCAATATCATCATTACATTCGATTGAGAAATGCATTAATGATACTTCAAATATTACAAATTTAACAATTCAAGATTGTTCTTTAGAACATTTATTATATCATATGTTCAAATATTTTCCTATGTTAAAATATCTAAATGTTAAATATATCACTCGAAGAAATCGTCCAATAGAGAGTGATAATAATGATTCAATGTTTAATACACATAATGGTATTCATTTAAAGCAACTGATTATTGGACTATTGGAGTATGATTTTGATGAATTTGAAGTATTTATAAAACTGATACCTAATTTAAGAATTTTAATAATAAATACAGAAGGTGATATAAATATGATGAATGCTTGTCAATGGAAAAATTTAATTCAATCTTCATTACCTTATTTAAACATTTTCAAATTCAACTTCGGTTGTTATCATAATGATAATGATGAAACTATTTTGAAAAAGTTTAAACATTTTCAAGATGATTTTTGGTGTAAACAACATCAATGGTATACAGAATATTCATGTGAAAAGTATAAAGCATGTATTTATACAATACCTTATCTAAGTACAGGTTATATATTAGAAATGAATACTCAACGATTTCCTAATAAATTAATTAATCATTTGAATACATTTGATAAGGTAACATATCTAGGTTTATATGATTCAAATCTAACAGATAAATGTCAAGATTATTTTTCAAATGTTGAATCATTAATATTATTTACTTCATACATTGTTCAATATCAATTTGATATTTCTTATTTAAAAATGATTGTTAATTTATCACATATAAAACATTTAAATATGTCTATGTATGAGAGAATTATATCATCAAGAGAATTCTTAGAAATATTAAAAGAATCACCAAAATTATCAACGATTACAATTAATTCAATAAATTTAAATTTACTATTGTATGATGATGAATTATGTAAGTATTTGAATAAAATGATTACAAAATTAAATATCTGTAAAGAATTAACTTTGCGTTTCAATATTCCTAATACATTGGAGAATTTTAAATCTTCGTTTAATAATTCTAAAGAATTAAAAAATTTTTGTAAAATTTTTTCAAATATTGAACATCTTGAATGTTATATTATGAAACCAAATCATGTATTATTTTTATTAAATCATTTATCAAAATTATCAACTATGAAAATTCATTTACCACCATTAGATAATTACGATTATTTTTTAAATTTATTTAAACAAGAATCATCTAGATTAAACTTTATATTTCGTGTCAAGAATATTAATGTAAAGACTCCAGAAGTATCTATGTGGATTGGTAAAAATATGACTCAGTCAAACAAGTGGTCATTTTTACGTATTTTTACGAATAAAAAGGCGAACTTTTTACGCTAAGAAAACAAGTTTATGGGCGTCATCGTCTTCGGACTGACCGTTTTTTTTAAATCATGAGAAGACTTTTTTTCACGACTTTGTCTGATTGGGTATTTAGTCGTCTTAATAATGTTGTTGCTTTTTTTCAATAAAAAATAAAATTAATCTTTTCTTTGTTGCTCAAATGGTTCTCTACATTTCTAAATTACATTTTCAGTGTGCATTAATCCGTAATAAATTGAATAAAAAGTTTTCAAATGAAGAAGACGATAAAAAAAAACACATAGAAATTATTAGCAAATTAATGCATATTCAATATGAACAAGCAACCGTGACCAGTTTCGTCCTTGCTTAAGGGACTCATCGGACGGCATGTTCAAATTCAACATTATCCAAAGATAACAGCGAAGCTGTTTCATCTGCTCCTATCAAAGACAGAGGACACAGTGTTAAGAAGCCACTCATAAATGATTTTCCACTTTGGATTGTCCATTTGGGCTGAAATTTTCAGAGATGACTGATACTAGTGAAGTTCGCTTCTGATAAAAGCTTCAGCTCTATAGGTCGTACTAGGCTGGAAATTCGGCTCATGCATGACTCATTTTTTGAATTGATATAACTCCATCCAGGCACGTGCTAGAGAGCCCGGGCTGGTTACAAATTAAAGCCAATCTCAGTGCGCAACTTTTCATTGGACCGAATTTTGAAATTCAATCCTATTAATTTTTTTATGAGCAGTTTAAAAAACTGGTCGATGAAAGGTTTACTCTCATCGAGACCTTTAAAGCAAAAAAGAATATTGGATGTAGCTTGAGCTAGGACGAAGTTGTATCAATTTTCCTGTTAGGAAACCATATGCTGAGAAAAACGCTAAAGAAGTTTAATAGATGGCACAAATTAAATAGTCGTGTTTTGCATTTTGATTTTCAATCACTTAATACTTTTTATTAAGGCCACCCCTCCCCTCCTCAAAAATTGATCTCAGTCCAGGTACGTTCAAACGGACTGAAGTGAGAAGGCTATGATGAAATTTTCAGCTCGAATTACTGACGTTTGACATAGATATGAACCAAACAAGGGTCAAAAATTGTTCATTTTGACGGCAAGATTTCTCTATGGGCCATCATTTAATATATATAGTTTGAAAGAGTCAAAAGCTGCAGGTGTTCTGAGGTTCCTTTTTTTTATATTCTTACTTTATATATGAAAGACATCAGTGGAAAGTTCAATGTGTCAAAAAACTCGTTGAAAACACGCAAAAAGTGAGTATCCATTCATATTTATGTCGTTTTTTGGACTAAAATTAAAGATAAATTTAAAAAAGCGGCCTCAGAACACCTGAAATTTTTCACGCTGTTACAAATAAAAAAAAAATATTTGACTTTATATAGTACTGTGGTAGAATGCCGCTGCAAATACGGAAAGTCATCGCACGTAAAAAGAATTCTGTAGTAAAATTTAGTAAAATTGTTATTTCTCCAGCCAACCTACAAGGAATAGAGCTGAAATTTTCAGTGATGCAAGGATAACCCATCCCTAGTACGCCCAGAAATTTGTAGCTCTATGCAATGTATTAGGGCGGAGATTGAGTTTTCACAAGCTGACAAAGCGAAAACCAGTAAGTGATTTTATTTTGAAGGAACTTAACTATCCCCATATGGAAATAAATTATTAATTTAATTTTGAAACATGTTTTAGTCATGTCTGATAAGTACTGATACCGATTCAGACACTGCTGGAAATTCTATAGAATATGAACAATTTTCGTTGTGTTATTTTATTGAATATGTTAAATTCTTGTGTATAAAATTCGATTTTCTAAAAATAAACAAGTTAAATATGAATAAAGAGCGATACAACTAATTAAATTATCTGTGAATATTGAATAAATAATTGACTATCGTCGTTTGAGTTTTTGAGATCTAGGAATTTCTTTAGACATTGATATAGATCGAACAATTGGTTGTGGTGGGACTTCTTCTGGTTCGATGGTTTCTTTTTGTTTTCTTTAATTTAGAGGGTGTGGGTGTCGGGAGTGCGTGTGGGGTGTGGGTGTGTGATGAGAACATATTCACACCCACATCCACACCCACACCAACATCCACATCCACAGCCACATCCACATCCATACCCACATCCACACCCACACTCCACACCCACACCCACTCCACCCATCTTCATTATCAAAACGTAGTGAGTAATTTTCTTTTCTTTCTTTTTGTGTACTCAAAAAGTGAGTACACTCTAGAATCGGTCAGTGTGTCCGACCGTTAACACGATAACGTTTGAAAGAAGAGTCCAATTGCGATGAAATTTTCTACACAGCTTAGTCTTAACAATGTCTCAGTCAAGTTCGAAGATAAGAATGATTGGTCGAGCCATTGATGGGTTATTGCAAAAATAGTCATTTTTCCCTATGCTTCCCTATGAGAAAATCGACCCTTCTCTGTTTTCCTTAAAAACTTTTCCTATCATAGTCAAATAAGACCCCAACTATTATATACCATTCGATAGAGAATTTCACGAGCTACAAAATGGTATATAAAACATAAAGAAACAAGAAGGCTAGCTCACCTATTGCAAAGATAAATAAACCGAAATCGGTTCTGTTTTTGTCTGCGCTCTAATCGGTCCACAAATAGAGTTCTATCGTCCGATCACAGAGATGATAGTTCGAGGTTTTCTGAGGTGGAGAACTCGAATCTGTGTTCCGTTCGCCTCGAAATCCAATTGGTTGAGCAGTGACCAATAGAAATCAAGTTATAGAAAAAACGAGTTTCTTAGGGTAAATCAAGGTGAAGAGTTGAAATCTTTTCTGTATCTGCCTCCAAATCCTATTGGTTGAGCAGTAGCCGATAGAAATCAGGTGTTTATAGAAAAGGTTTGCCAGGACAATTTTGGTGTCCACACATTCTAGGATGACTCATCTGTCTCATTCACTTTTTGAAGTACACATAACTCTCGGATTTAAATCCGAAGTTTCCGCATTTATTTATGAAGTGTAGTTAGAAGAGGTTTTGATAAAGGGGTAGAGAATTGATAGCCAGCTGCTTTTAATCGTTATAGAACTGGTCGAGAGCTAATTTCCACTTTTTTGCGCTTTAAACCACGAGCAACTGATACGCTGGTTGCATCTTCATTTTCTTCAATTTCATTTAAAATCATTTCATCTTCTGACGATGTTGTTAAGCGAGGTCGACCTGGTTTTGATTCGTCAGATAAATCTTTTGTTTCCTTTCAGCGAGCTCTCCAATATCATACTGTTTTTTCATCACAATGAATGAGGCGAGCAATTTTGCTGTTATTAAGTCTCGGACCATTTTTATGTTCCGATAAAAAAATAATTTCATATCTTCGATGTAATGGTAAATGATATGTTGACATGATGAATTATATGTGGTTGTGAAGAAAAGAAAATTATATATGAAATAGACACAGAGGAATTCAGTGGCAAATAATCTTGATAAATATTCATTACTGTTATTATAGAGGCATATTGGTCACACGCCTTTTCCTATTCTTTTTTCTTTTCAAGAAAATAATAAATTCATACAACTTTTATCCTAAAATTCTGAACGAAGCTGACTAACACTTCTTCAGTCGAGAAGTGCAGTCAAGGAAAAATTATTTTTACGAGTTATTGGAAGTGTGATATTATCTAAACTATAAAGTAACGATAGTGATCCTCGAATTGTTGTATCTTGTCAAAAGGATTGTTTCTAGATAATATCGATCGATATTATGAAAACTGTCAGAAGACTTTTTACAATTTTTAAATGATATATAAAAAAAAGTTTGATTCTTCTTCAAAGCAAGATATTATCTGACTACTTTTTTTCAGTTTTTGAAAAAAAACGATCAAATTGTCAATATGAGTTAAAATTTGAAAATTATATTTTATGTTTTGTTTCCCATGATATCTAATGAATTTTATAACTTTTTTTGGTAGAAATGTACCTCTATATATGTTAGTTATGTATTTAAAAGATGAGGTTAATTGCTTGAAGATTTGTGTATCCGGGACTATGACAACAACGTCATGTTCATCATAGTGACATTTCTCTCTAGTAAGTGATATATGTCTGAAAATTTTAGGAGAGAATGGAGACCTATGGAGGAACATTTCCTATAAGTTTCAAGTCGAACTGTCAAAATTTCACTGAATTATGAAGTGCAAAATTAGCTTGGATGGTTTGTCTTCATATGGATACTTACAATAACATGGCTCTAACTCTATAATGGGTCGATGAATATCGATGAAAATTTTATTATAGATGGCTATAATACAGAGCTACAGAATGAGGGGTCCTGCAGCTCCTTAAGTCTTGTCGTTCCTAAGTTATGAAGTCTACAAGGGTGACAGACAACTTGCATTATAACTTTCTTTTGCTTCATGAAATTGGGGCGCAGATTGTGCCGTTGGCCTATATTCATCAAGAACTATGTACATACAAATTTTCAGATCTATAGCATTTATGGAAGTGAGGATTCCAGTTCGGGGATACTTTTGACCAGTACTGTAGCATTGAGCTATGCTTTTTTCGTTGATAATTGACAGATAATTCTTAAGGACTTAAAAAAGAACGAAAGAAGAAGAGAATGAGATAATTATAAAGCTGTGTACGATTTAAAGATGCTGATAAATTCGTAAATTAATTTAAAAATTATAGCTAATTTTACTAAATTCTCACCATAGTTCGAAGAAGTAGACTCATAAAAGTAGAAATGCATTGAAGGACAGACAAAAATTAAGCTAAGGAAAGCCCCTTTATCAACAAGAAAACATCTTCTAAATAAAAAAAATAGAATGAGCATGTTCTCTTCTTTTTCGTTTATAGATGAATCCGTGGGCTTTCTATTAGTTTTCGAAAGAAGTATGTATTGTGCCAATGTTCTAAAAGAAAGTTTTTTTCGATTTTGATAATCTAGTTAGACAGGTCATAGTCGAAAATGGGCTGAGATAACAGTTAAAATATTTTTGAACACAACGTGTGAAAAACCACATCATTTTCTAGGAACAT